TATGTTAAGGTATAAAGCAGAGTGCCATTCCATAGAAAAGTGCACATCATTGAAGCCTCTTAACCTGCGCTACAACCAATGCAGTAATTGCATCAAATTGCAGGTTAATCGCGGGAAGCTAGCTGCCGCGGCGCAGAGCGGAGAAGGAGCACGACTCTCAAAACACTTCATAAACCGTTCCACAAGCTGACAGGAAAGATACTATGGAGTAAGTCAAGGCAGCGACAACTCCAGTGCTTTTTGATGAATAAAATTTCATTCGGAAAAAGGATAGTTATGAAGTATTGTCGGTGTCTTCACACGAGAACTCCCAGAGCAGTCAATTTGACAGTTTTTCGTTTTGGAAGCGTAATTACTCAGTTTATGTACATTCTTTGCCTTTGAAATGTGAGTAGATCTTTCTTTAACTCTATTAATTTGAATGTTAAATCAAATATACTCTTTCGGTCGCTTGGCAATCAACTTTTTATGGCAGGAGTTGAAGCTCCCTTTTTGTGGACTGGTCGTGAACTGGTCTTGGACTGGTCTTGGACTGGTCTTGGACTGGTCTTGGACTGGTCTTGGACTGGTCTTGGACTGGTCTTGGACTGGTCTTGGACTGGTCTTGGACTGGTCTTGGACTGGTCTTGGACTGGTCTTCCAAGCGTGTGAATGGAAGCAGTAAATAAATATTACGGCTCGGGGAGTTCCAGTAGTGTTCGAATTCTGGGGGTTCTAGTGTTAATAAAGCCTGGGATGACATGTTTTTTCTGATCCAACCATAAACTGCCATATTTGTAAAAGCCGGTACCTAAACCCTTCACATTGCTTTATTGTAATCTTTGCAATCGCCAAGGGCAGTGCCAAAGTTGTTTCAAGCAGTGACAAACCTGCTCTTGTGGATCAGAGCAGAGAAAACAATCATTAATCATCATTAAAACAGCATTCAGCAACGACTATGGCGCCAGATTTACGCCAAAAGTCCACACGCTCAAATAACACATACACGCGCAGCTTTATTTAATTCACACGCGCGCAAACTACTCTCCACGCGCACATTTCACACCACACGCGCGCAGACTCAGTACCACGAGCCACAATACGCGCGTGTGTGCGCTCGTGACCTGCCCTCTCCCTTCTCGTGGTCTTTGTTCTGCGCGCGTTGAACACTTTTGCCATCTCTTCTACGCGCGCGTGAAATACTTTTGTCGCTTGGGGGCGGGGCCAGTGAAAGGTAAACACTGGGTTTCTTTCTGGGCGACGTTACAGGCAAGTTGTGTGCATAGCTGAGTGGCTAAAGAAGGAAGAACACTGGAGCAGACTTTGTGTTTGTGTCCTACATTATCTAATAATCAAAAAGTCCAATCCATAAGTAATCACTAGGTTACATGATGTCGCTAGATGTAGTTATCATGATCAGTCAAGTTAAAGCAAGCTCAAACAGCTAAAATGCTAACCGGCAGTTAGCATTTTAGCTGTTTTGCTAAGTTAGCTAAGGAGGCTCCTTCGTTTTAGTCTGAGGAGAAACAGCTGTTCATGATTTAGCCTGTGTAGCCTTCTAGTCACAACAAAAGCACATAAATACTTTAGTGCTAAAGTATTCAGCTCTAAAACCACAAAGTGTGTGGTGTTTTTCCTTGATTACAACAACTGGAGAACAAAAGTGATCAACCTGTATACCACTAAAAAGGCAATAATAACTTGAGCTAATGTTGCTTTTTTCCTTTATCAGGAGAACCATAGTCTGTGCCTTGCATCTGTGGAGAGGACTGCTGAGCTGAATGCATGGAGAGACGTGATGTGGATTTATGTTTTCTTTTATTTTGTGCATAACTACTAGTAAAAGTCATCCAGTGATCCTCCTTGTGTCGTGGTCCTTCTTCAGACAGCGCAGAACATGGAACACAACGCAGATTACACTAATAAAGGGGTTAACAGGTGTGCACCAGGTCAAGACTGTAATTGAACAATAAAAACAAGTTACAACGGTGCCCACACCCGTTACAAGTCCATTTCCTGCCATACAAGAACAGTTTGGGGTAAGGATGTACCCCAAGTCTTTGTGGCCATAGTTACTCCCGGGCATCATAAGGCTTTGACTTAATGCCCACTCTCTGACTGGGGAGCACATCTGCCTCAAAACACGGAACTCAGTACCAGAGTCAAAGTATTTCACATTCTTTACATAACACATAATTGTCTGCATCGATAGATTTATATGATTTAGGTTCTCTTTTGTATAGACACTGGGGGCCTGAGTGAGGTAATTATAGATATTAGGCCAGGTAACTGATGGCCATTTTCTCCTATCTACAACCCACTGTTCTGTGAGAATAGTATTATTATTACATGTTTATTTGACAGGCACAGAACAAAAAGTATTGTTACAGGTAACCAATGCCATGTTCATAGGCCGTATAGAAAACAGATAATTGGCAGTCGCTAAGGCATAAAAATATTAGAGATTTCAGTTCAGCAGGTAAAATGTTCCAGAGCTGTGGCTCTTCGACTGCAAACGAAGTCTGACCAAATGATGTTTTACATCTTGCCGGTCTGCAGTGTGTGTGGATCAGGAACTGGTGCCCATCGCAGAGGACCAATTTATGAAGATAACCTGCACCATCAGAACTATTCAGGGGTTCTGTGTAGTGTGTAGAGATGATAGCCATCCTAAACTAGCAAACACAATACAGGTACAGAAGCCAATTATGACAGGTTGAAACAGCTTAGCCCCAATTTTAAGTTCATTTTAATAAAAATACATGAAATCAAATGAAGTTTACTACTATTTAGCAATGTTAACAATTCAGATAGCTCATTTGTTTCAAAACTTTGTATACACATTTTTGATATTTGGGTTTATGGACTCACAGATTTATTGCTAGTTAGCATAGACTCATTAGGTCAACCCCCTATAATTATGCAAATAAAAAGCAAACAAATAACTCTCAGAGACAGTTTTATTAAACTTTGATAACGGTCCTGACATGATTCTGACAAAGCATTCAGTGTAAACAACGTACAGCGATCACAAAGGTCCCGGGATGTACCTGGCTAGCCTTGCGGCAACATAGGCTGATGAGAGAGAATATTAAACATTTACGAACTAAACATGTCCTGGTGTAAGCCTATAGGGTGTCCACAACAGTGTACATACCACGTTAAAGACTACAATAGCCAGCCCAGTTAGGGTTATAAAAAAGATATACAGTCTATGGATTAATCATATGCTTTCCATGCATAAGCATTTCATCTCCAAGCTGCAGTGGGCTGTTTACCTTTCACTGGCCCCGCCCCCAAGCGACAAAAGTATTTCACGCGCGCGTAGAAGAGATGGCAAAAGTGTTCAACGCGCGCAGAACACAGACCACGAGAAGGAAGAGGGCAGGTCACGAGCGCACACACGCGCGTATTGTGGCTCGTGGTACTGAGTCTGCGCGCGTGTGGTGTGAAATGTGCGCGTGGAGAGTAGTTTGCGCGCGTGTGAATTAAATAAAGCTGCGCGTGTATGTGTTATTTGAGCGTGTGGACTTTTGGCGTAAATCTGGCGCCATAAACGACATGTAATAAACGTCTCACTGGCTGTACGAGACAACTGGTTCACAAGTCGGGGTGTCCTCAAAATGTAAAAAAATTCTATTTACTTTTACTGAGCCCTAAATCACAACATACGTCTTTGAGGACTTTACAATTGTCAATTCACCAACAACAGATCAGATACACATTTCTAACACAAGAAATCCAATAACAACAAAATGATTGGTCCATAGCAACGACTCAAAACAAAAAACAGTGGGAAAATACATTTATAGATTTTCTTTTGATATTTTGACTATCTATCGAATCACATTTATCGAGAAGTGTATCGTATCAGCCAGCTCTGAAGATCTCCGACCTTTTCCACATAGAGAGCTACTGTTTCAGGACAAAAGTACTCTAGTAAGTAATCTTTAAATCATATAGCGTATTTATATAGCACATTTATATAGTGCATTTTTACAGACCAAGGTCACCCAAAGCGCTTTATATTGGTCAGAGTTCAGATATTTCTTCATTCTCTCCACACACGGTGAAGATGGAAGCAAGATGCCGAACACACTTGCACATCAAAGCCCCCATTCACTCACTCATTACATTCAGACCTATTGTACATGTTTTAGTGGTTTAGCACCTGGAGGAAACCTACGCAGGCATGGGGAGAACATGCAAACTCCACTTAAAAAGACCCTGAGGCAGAGACACTCAACAAACAGCAGCCAGAGTCAATACTGTAGAATGGAGAGATGGCTTGGATTGTTTAATTGTCATCTAACTGTAACCCATCAATTATACCTTTTAATAGCACAAGTCAAACATTGTCAATAATTGTAGGCTGTAGGGGGGGGTCGGGTCGAAATGCCCAGAGAGAATATGCCTCTTTTTATACAAGAGATAATAATCAGGTCCAAAGTGAACACGATGCCTTGTGCACTGCTGCTGGATACAGAAAAGATCAAACGGCCTCTCACAAAAACAACAAATACAGCATTAGTGCAAAGTGGATCAACAAAGAATGGACAAAGCCAAGTCAGAATGTGAACATACCACAGTAAGTGCCGACCAATTATAACTCTGGCTCCAGACTAATAATTTCATCAAATATTTATGTGTCAGTAAGCAAGCACAAGGATGTGACATCACAGTGGCGTCAGATAACCATTAGCTTCCAAAATCAATAGCAACATTACTCAGCCATAGCGGGGGAAAATAGATACGTTTGTGAAAATAGTTTTTGGTTACCATGGGAACCCGGAAGAGCAGGGTCTTGATTTGGCGGAGTGTTTGCGTGTGCCCGTTGCAAAAGGCTGTAGTAGTACTGTTGTAACAAACCCTGAATTCCCTCGAAATGGATTTCACTCTCACATGTGGAAGAAAACTCAGCGTTTATGGAGTTTTTTGGACTCAAGAGTTCTAGACGATACGCGTTGACATTTAGCGTCAGCACAGATCAGGAAAATGCTGGAACTCCATTCTTTGCCGACATGGAAGCTAACGGAGAACAGCTAAGGTAAGCAGCATGCTCTGGGTCGTACTAGAAACTTGGTGTTTAGTCTGCGGCAGAGGAAAATCTTAATGTTTTGTTGGCATTTTTGACTCTTAAAACATATATGTAAATAATGGTTAAAGTTTAAGATTAGGATTAAGAGATCCTTTATTCGTCCCACAGTGGGGAAATTTCAGAAATTTTAGGGCAGAAACCGCAAATGTAATAGTGGTGGGGTTAAGGGTAAGGCTTGCCTCCTACGGGACAAAATGCCAAGATTTTAATGAGCCCTGCAAATGTTAAAAAGTTGCCGCCCTCAAAGCTTAAGGACGACAACTTAAGCTCTGAGGTGTAACCATGGATGTATTATATTAACTGGATAGGGTATTACTAGCTTGTAGCTGAATAACTCACGTGCTCAGGGGATTCTCGCGGTACTGCAGACTGAACCAGACTAAATTCACGTGGGCTACCCAGAAATTTTCCCCATAGCACTCAATGCATATTAAAACAGCTCAACCTCAGCTGAAAGAGAACCTACAGCTTTAATAAAGATCGGATTTTGTGGGGATTTTAGTGTCCCTTGTCATCCTGAACTTTTTTTCTTCTTAAATCCTTCGGTTTTGTTTAAATCCACACTTTAGTGCCACAAACTCTGCTCCTCTGGCTCTCGCTCTAACTCCCGCTCTGATGAACTGCTCTGATTGGTCAGAGCGCGGCCGAGCCCCTCTGTGCACGTGCGTGAGACCTGGTGTGAGACCCACACACGCGTGTTTGGCGCAACGCATTATGGGAGATCATCCACTGCGCAGAACCGGGAGGACCAGACGATGCCCAAATACAGGCGAGTTTCCCATAGATCTTTGCGAGTTTCAGGCAACTTCCGCTAATCTTTCAGCCTCCATGCCGTCACAAAGCGCCACTGAGCACAACCATTCATTTGAATAGGGCGCCATCTTGAATCGCCGGGGCTTGGGTGTAACTAAGTTATGCTTAGTGCCATTGCGACTAAGCGTAACTTACAACATGAAACATTTAATGCAACCTCCGGTTTATGTATTAAGTTCTTTTAAAATGTAGCTGGTGCAGCAAATAAACAGCTTAACCTTTCAGCCAAAATAGCACTCAATATAATGGGTCACCCCTCACCATTCAGGGTTCTAACCAGAATCTTTTTAGCAGCATGCATCTAAAATGATCATCCCTGTTTGGCCATAATTTTAGATTTATAATTTAACTTCCTGGTTGTAATTGATGACATCACGTCAGGTATGTTACCAAGCAACTGTGTAATAAACTGAGTCAAAACCATGCCAGTGCATATAGAAATTATATTTGACAAACGTCATTATAAGAATAGGTATACTTGTTGAAGTGAATTGTTAAAGTCTCATAAAAATGACGTAGTCAAAGATATAGCACTATTTCCAACTATCCCTAGCTCGATGTCATCTGTTTGAGAATACTGCTCTTCTTCCTGTTAATGTCAACATGCTTTCACTCTATTATTAAAAAACTGACTGTTTTAGTGTAAAACTAAAATGGCACTCCACCAAAACCTAAACGATTATATAATGAAAACCGAGCTCATTGGAAATGCCCTTTTCCCACTAAATCAAATAGTAAATTAATATATATATATCACTATATATCAAAATTAAATACTTAAGATTTCGTCACACCGAAGTACATCCGTAACGTTTAAGTGTCATCTAAACAAACTCCGGGAGGCAGCCTTTCACATATATTCAGCTACAATTTGGAACAATCAAGACTGGCTGACTCTGACACTGTTCAAATTCAGGTTAAAACAGTTTTGTTAAGCTCTGCATACAACTGAAGGATTTTATCTGTAATGTACCGAGATTATTTATGATTTTAATGTTTTTCTTGTTTTGTTAAGCACTATGACTTGCCTTGTGTATGAACTGTGCTATACAAATAAACTCCCCTTGCCTTTATCCACAGTGTATCATATAGCCAACAATACATAGCATAAAAAATTTGTCTATATAGATGCTGGAATAGTCTTCCTGAAAATGCAAGGCTTCAACTCTGACATTGTTCAAATCCAGGTTAAAAACAGTTCTGTATAGCTGTGCATACAACTGAAGGATTCTAAGTGAAATGTGATTATTAAGGATTCATGTCTTGTTAAGCAATTTGACTTGCCTTGAATCTGAACTGTGCTATACATATAAACTCCCCCTTGCCTGTATCCATAGTGTATCATATAGCCAAGAATACATTGCATGTGTAAATGGTGAGCATATAGAAGCATAGGCTAGCACTCTGCTGGTGCCATAGCGAAACAATGAGGCTAGCCACTGTGCTCTATGCCTCGCGCACAGGGCTCGCGCACAGGGCTAGCGTTAAATGGCTAACTCTGGCAACAAAAACATTTGGAAAAAAGACGAAGCCACTTACCGACTTAACAAGCCACTCCTATCCCCCACGGCGGGCTGTCCATGTCGGTGTTACTCCATAAAAAGAACCACGCAAACCGAACGAACGAAAACCCCGCTTATATTACAGCCCGTGGAGCCGTCACCGATCCCCGAGACACACCATCACCACGCTAAAACTACCGCGGTGTAGTCCAGAGAGCGACCGAGCCAAGAGGCATGCTTCTCGGCGAGAGATCCCAGCCAGCCCCCGGCCCCTGGAGCGTCGTCCGTGCGTCCGAGCGTCCTGGTCCAGCAGTGGTATTCCTCCGTATGTATGTATGTGTGTGTCTGCTGTGTGTGTGTCTGCCCGGTGGATGAGCGTTGTGGTGGCCGCGGAGATACTAGGCAGTCCGGGCATCAGCAGCAGCGGGAGAGGGGGGTAAAACCAGGAGAGGGAGGTCCGGGTGGAGTGGAGTGGAGGAAGGCAAAGCCAACCAGGAGGGGGTGGGGAGGGTGTGTTTAAAGGGGACATATATAGAAGCTTTTTGGTGAGAAAGTGTTTAGGAGTTTTTTTTACCATGGCAGGGTAAGCTATAAAGTTTTATTTGTATAGCAGTTCATACGCAAGAAAAGTGCTTAACAAAACAATTAAAGGAATAGTTCACCGTTTTTACATACTGACATATGTTCTTACCTTACCTTAGACTAGTTAATACGTACCTGTGTGATCTTAGTCCGTGCGCTCTGTCATGCAAACGGAGCAAAAACGGGAGCACAAACGCAGCCTCCTCTGTATACTGTGTAGCACCAAAAGGTAGCTCCCGCTAGAAGCTACCAAACTCTTCCAAGTGTTCCCTATTAAATGTATATAGTTACGTGACGTGTTACACTGCAAAGTATAGTAACACAGAAATGTAACAGTCGATTTTCTCAGCGGATAAAACGGGTACTATATTGTGAGGCGTAGTAATCTGAGGAGCGCTACGTCCGCGCACTAACTTATCTCTGTACTACAAGTCACGCTGCTTCTATTGACGGAAGTGAGCGAGAGAGAAGTCTCCGGACAGAAGTTAGTGCGCGGACGTAGCGCACCTCAGATTACTACGCCTCACAATATAGTACCCGTTTTATCCGCTGAGAAAATCGACAGTTACATTTCTGTGTTACTATACTTTGCAGTGTAACACGTCACGTAACTATATACATTTAATAGGGAACACTTGGAAGAGTTTGGTAGCTTCTAGCGGGAGCTACCTTTTGGTGCTACACAGTATACAGAGGAGGCTGCATTTGTCCTCCCGTTTTTGCTCCGTTTGCATGACAGAGCGCACGGACTAAGATCACACAGGTACGTATTAACTAGTCTAAGGTAAGGTAAGAACATATGTCAGTATGTAAAAACGGTGAACTATTCCTTTAAGGTTAAGACATCCTTCATTCGTCCCACAGTGGGGAAATTTCAGTATTGCATCAGCAGTGACATGACAGTAGGAATGAGGAGCACACAGCAAAATATAAGACAATAGATCTATACTAAAATTCAATAAAATGTCTTAACTTTAGCGTAATAAAGAAGCAAGTATAACATCTCTAGCTTTAGCATAATAAAGAAGCAAGTCTAAACAACATTTCTGACTTTAGTGTATCAAAGAAGAAAGTATAGTCCGAGAAGTGTATAAAACAAGGCAATAAAATCATGAATAATCGCAGTACTTTCAAAAGAGTGAAGACAAAATCCCTCAGTTGTTCACAGCTAAACATAACAGTTTTAACCTGGATTTGAACATTGTAAGAGTAGAAATCTGTCTCACATTTTCAGGAAGACTGTCCCAGATTTCAGCCACACAAGTCTGAGAGGTTGCCTTCCCAAAACATAGATAACATACATGTTTTGATGCAAGATTCATTGCAATCAAAAGCAATTTTAGGGGCTGAAATTTGCCTTGTATTGATTCGACAGATTCGGATTCATATTATTTGCCATTTGCAGAAAAACCACATTGGAATTCACATTGGGTAGTACTCTCGCTTCTCAGCAGGACGGTCCGAGGTTCAAATCCTGGTCGGAACAGGGGCTTTCTGAGTGGAGTTTGTATGTTCTCCCCATGTCTACGTAAGTTTCCTCCGGGTGCTCTGGTTTCCCCTACCACTAAAAACATGCTCAGTAGGTTTGGCATGCGCCTCCTGGACAATGCTAACCCGCTAGCAAGATGAAGCCCAATAGGGGAGTACTCTTTCTTGGTGAAAACATAACCTCATTGTTATTTTGTGGCCTGAGGGTTTTATTTCTGCATACATACATTTCCTCATCGTACTTTCTATTGTGACTGTTGTGTCTGACACATTCATCTTTGAGACTCTGTTATTATTGTTAAACCTCTGACGTTTTCATTTCTAACCAAGAATGAACTCTGCTCTCCTCACTTGCCACCGAACCTGGTCATTTCCTCGTCCTGGTATCTGCCGTTAAAGCGTGTATATTACTCATGCCACTTGCTGACATATCCTTTTATCAAGAGCAGCCTGTTGTTGTGACAAGCCCTGACTGAAATCTTCCATCGGAATGTGATTTCAACACTGTACCTGCCTCTCTCCCCTCGTGCCCTTTGTATCTTCCCAGTGCAGTTCTCTCACAGAACAGCCTCTGCCTCGGGCCACCGCACACTGAAAACCTACTCCACTCCCACACTCCGCTGTCTGTCACAGAGACGCCAGACGAGACATTCTGCTGATAAAGAAATATAATAACAATAATAATGCATCATATTTGCATAATGCTTTTTTGGCACTCAGAGACGGTACACATGCCATTATTAATTCACTCCAAACACTGTGGTGAAAAATTACTACTGTAGCCACAGGTGATAATTGGGATATATCTGGGACGTTTGGACATAGCTCTAATCAGTACGAGTCCAAAAACCCTGAGGTACCGGTTTCTTTCACACCCAAGCCTGGACTCATTGTGTGATGGTGTGGATTTTGTGAGATTTTGTACTTTGGTTTTAGTTTGACATTAGTTCTGTGGTTTGGTTTCAGTTTTACTTCCTGTCTTGATTGTCTGCCCACCCAGATGTGTTTCTCCTTTGCCTCTCTGTGTTTATATGTACTGTGTGCTTCTCTCCCTTTGTTGCTGGTCCATTGTCAGTGTCTTTGTCTGTCTGTGTTCCTGAGTTCCATTTGGATTGTTGGTTTGTTATTACCCTGGACTTTTATCTTATTATCTTCATTAAACAAATTATTTTTGCATTTCCGCTTTTTGGGTCCTCCTTCACTTCGCCACATGACACATGGGTTGCACCCCCCTCTTACCCCTCTCTCGATGTGGGCCTCCCCAAAGGTTTTTTTTAAGTTGCTCCTTGCTGATGCATATACAACAACAACTTATTCTTGTATAGCCCTAAAGCCCTTTTGTTAAGTCATCTCAGAGGACTTAACAAAACCATTGAAATCACCAACACAGATCGGAGAATCAACAGTTAAAACACAAAATATACACGTCCTGTATGTATTGGTCCATAGGGAGAGACCAATGTCCATGAATGTTGATAAATGTCATACATGTTGTAGAATGTTAAAGTGTCCTGGATTATCACAGTCCTTCTAGTTGGACACTCACTGCCCAACAGACCCTCCTGCATCGGTAAGGAACATTTCTTTGCGACGCTCATTCAGTGAAATGCGATTACTTACTTCTTTTCTTTTATAACGTAGCAGGAATGTAGACAGAAAAAACACATTATTTTATTGCTTGATTCATGTATGTATGTGGGTCAGGGGAATAAAGTAATCAAACAACGCTCAAGTCACAAGAGGAACGAGCCGCAGAGCTGTGTTTAGGGGAGTGAAGCCATTCAGTTGTCCCTAAAGAAACGAGTCGGAAAGTGCTCCACATGAATGATACATTTCAATGTCAAAGTCAGTTTGTTTTGACCCAACAACACGCCATCCTTTCTCTCAGTCCCAGGTGACACGCTATATGGTCCCAGGCTTAAACACCAGGTCTGCAGTGTGAAAAAGGTTTAGTATTTCTCTGGCTGTCTCAGGTGTTCTGTATCTTGGATTTTCACCACAGGGAAGACAGGAACGTGTCGAAACAAACATCAGACTCTCAAAATAATTCTTCTAGAGAGAGAAAGAGAGACCAGAGCAAACCTCATTGTAATGGACTACAGAAAGTTTAGCACCCCAAGAAGGTCCTGGGTTCGATTCCACCTCTACACACGGCCTTTCTGAGGGTTGAGGGATAAGTGAGGGATTAATTAAAATATGTGTGTGACTGTGGGACTGCAGCTGGAAATTAGCAACAAAAGCTACAATCTGGTGTGTTTACCACTAACCCTGCTGTTCATTCATAGTTCTGTTTCAGTTTAATTATTTATTTCAGATTTTTCAGACCATTCTGACTATTTCAGGCACTTGGTGATAAGAAACACAAATACACAAATACACAAGGTCTGAATAGGCAGAAGTTGAAGCTTATAAACGCCTACCCTTTAGCACATACCGCTAATACACACTGTCCCATTTAGAACCACACAGAGAGACAGATAGACGGATAGATAGATACTTTATTGATCCCTGTTGGAGAAATTCACGTGCCCATTAGCAGCAGAAACATACATCCATCCATACAAACAAAACAAACAAATAGATAATTCTAAAAAAACAGCTAATGTGTCCACATGCTAACATGCACAGATGTATACATACAACTATATATGTCTTGAACTTGAGTATAGAGAGTACTTTTATGGCAATCAAGAAACTGTGTCCAATAATAGTGCAGGTTTTTCAGTCCTAATGCAAGTAACTTAAAGTGACTTATTGTACAGTCTGACAGCGGTGGAGATAAAAGTCCTGTGGTAGCCATATTTGTTTTCCAAGTGCCTGAAATTGTAAGAAATGTAATAAATGAATAAATACATTTAAACTGAAACTGTGTGATTGATGCAGTCTGAAAATCTGAAGGTAAATCAGATGCGCCCGCACGCTCCCGTGTCTCCGGTGCTTTACGGCCGTGATCTGTTTGAGTTTCAGATTAGCTACAGCTCCATTCATTTCATTAGAGAGAGGACAATTGCTCCGTCGGCTGTTTACAGTAATCTCTGCGAAGTGCTCCCAAGAAAAGGTGCTTGTCCTGGGGGCAGATTTGAGCGAGCCCCAGCCCCCTCGCCCATGGGTGGCCTCTGGAGGGTATAGGGCATTAGTATGGATGAGGAGCGAGACTGTGTTAACAAGGGCTGAGCTGTTTCACTTAGCATTTCTGCATAAACACAGCCAAATCATGAGCGGAAAATCGTGTACTCGAGAAAAAGCTTAGAGTGC